ATGTCAAATCCATTCAACCATAGCCTTGTTTTGTAAGCTCCCACTTCAAGCCTATTGTCACAGCTTGTCATCAGCCCAGTCTTTACAATGTTCTGTTTGTGAAAAGACTTCTATTTTGTTGTGGGTTTTAGACTCATTTTAAAACCTAACTTTCTAAGGAAACAAGAAAATCTTGCTTCAACTGGTGCCGTGCAAAGGTGTCTGCTGTTTTTATTGCTCTGCATTCACTGTAGCAGCCATAAACATTACCTGTTTACCTGTGGTTTTTTAAGGGTGAGAGTTGCAAAAAGAAAAATAAAGCATCTCGATAGTTCAGACGCCGGGAGTCGTAGTGAATCAGATGTTTCCTATGTTTAGTCAGTTTGCTGTTTGTCTCCTACTGCGTGTTTGGGAAATAGATCCCTTAATGGAAATACACTCCTTTTAGTAAGAACTAAACAGTCTGACTAAATTTAGAGAAACAAAAAACAGTTGACTTAACTGGTGCAGTTTAAAAAGGCAACATAATAAAAGCACTAAAATTAAGACTCTTGCATTATCTTTAACGTGTCACAACATCTCACAGAGCTTACCTGTATAGTATTTGTCATACTCAATATAAGGCATAATATATATTCTATTTCAAGGCTATTTTCATCTTTGTCATATACTGTACGAACATATACTGTTTGAATGAAGAGTCTTTACATGGACCAATGGCCTGTCTAAGGCATCCACCTGTTTAAGCCTAGGCAGGAGCATCAGGTAGGGTTGGTTCCCACACTCACACTCTACTTTTCTGGACTGAGGTATAAAAAAGCAAAATAAAATGTATTATAGATACACTGATTTTTGTAATGTTTGAATATTGCTGGATTTGCAGTTTTGATATTTTGTTGATTTGAAGAATAATACAGATCGTTATTACATAAACACTTTGTTACAGAATATAGATTGTGTTATTTTATGTTTTGAAATTAACAGTGTGCTGGTTTCCTATATTTTTCTTTTTTTGTCAGAAGGGTCCACTTGGACATAAAGATTTATTCTGTCTTCATTTCACCCTCTTCCACGGCACTATATGTGTGGCTCCTCAGCATTTCTGTCAGTTGTGTTGTTGTTCTCTGTTCAATAGTATGTACTTTGTAACAGGCATACACATCTGCCCACACACACCAGTTATTCGTCACTTTTCTAGGACTTTGCTTTGCTGTTGTTTTATATCTTATGTATAAATATATAAAAGAGAATTTTGTAAATGTACCATTATAGCCTAAATGTTAGAATAAATACACCCCGAAAAACCTTTAGAACTTGGTGTATACTATATTACTGCAGTATAGTTGTTTTTTGGCTTTTGTTTATTCCAATTTTTGTTTAGTAACATAGGCTACAGTATATTTGGAGAAGGTTTGCGTGTGTTTGAACTGGTCCACCAAATACACTGGTAGACGTTCAATGAGAATTAAACAATAAATATAACAATAAAGTATCTGTTGATAAACATGTGAATGTATTTGACTAAAGCATATTTACAAATGTCACTTTTAAAGCCTGGTGGTTTAGGATGCAGACTTGTGTCTGAAAGATCGGAGGTTCAGTAACCAGCCACCAAGTACCACTCACACTTCGTTGTGTGCAGCAGTGAAAATCACTTTTACTTAAATTGAAAAGGCATGCATGACAAGTAAAAGGCAAAAAATTATTCCATGCTATGCTGCTAATGTCCGCCAGATGGCAGCACATACCAGCTGACGTCAGTTTATGGGCGCTCTATAGATTATAATAATATATGTAAGTGACAGGACAAACTAGTAAATGATGGAAAGAAAATTAGAACTCCACCTTCAATTTCCACACTTCCAAAAATTAAGCAGATTTATGTAATGTAAAAATGTCATGACTCCTTAGACATTACTTTGTTTGGAAAAGTTTTTGGTTCTTTGTTTGTTTGTTTTTTTTTACCTCAAAGGTTTTCCAGAATAGAAGGACTGGATAGATATTCCAGAGGAATTCGGGATTTCTGGCTGACTGTCGGCCATATTGGTTTGGAGAAAACGGCATTTAGCATTCCACTTGGTGGAATGGAGTGGAAGAATATGAAAGGGATTTCACTGTAGTTTCTAGTATGCATCTACAGAATGCAAATAAACCCCGTAAATATGCAGAAAAGATTAATTTAAATAGTGGACATTAACGTTCACTAGTATTGACCTCTATGCACGAAAGTGCTAAAACTAAAATGTATTTATTGAGATATACATACCAAATGTAACCAACGCTCTTAAACGCTTCGAATGAATTCGAAATGAATTTCAAACACGTTGTTTTTAAATGTACGTGTTTTGGAATAAACTGACATAATAAGTGTATCTAATGTGGTGGTTTGTTTGTTGGCACTGTTTTCGGCAAGGTGGGATCAGTATTTGGCAGCCGTCGCCTTCTCCTGCATTCACAGCCAAAAAGAGGTGGGGTCGGTATTTGGCATTTTCGTCCTGCCTGCCTTAACGGCAGCGAGAAGTAGGCGGGGCCAGTATTTGGCAGGTCGCTCCTCTGGAGGGTGTGTATGTGTGCGGTCGGTGGCTGAGTGCAGACTTCTCTCAGCGTCGATCTGCAAAACAGTTACCGAGCTAAGGACGAGAAAAAAAGAATAGAGGAACAGCATAATTTCCCAGTCTTTGCCATGTTGTCGACGATATTTTTGCAACGACTACTTTGATCTCATCAGAACTGTCGTTTTTGAAGACTTAGGCCACAAGAAACCAAAGCAGAAATTAATGCATCGGAGCCTGCGGCGCTGTTTGTTTTGACCTGGTAAGAAAGTGCTAACTCCTGATTAGCTTCAATGCTAACAGCGTTTCCTCAGATTTAAATAAGCATCTCTGGCTAATGCTAACGCTCTAAGCTAAACACGTCAGATCTTTTATATTTTTATATTTTACTTATCTTCAATGACGTATGTATGCTTATATTCTGAGGGGTTCCGTGCACCAAAAAGCTTTAGTGAAGTGTTAATTAGGTGTAAAATATCGATTTTGACTTTATTTACGTTTTGGGAAGCTAATGGCTAACGGCTAGTTCTATCACGTATTTGGCTCATCCTTGAGCATCGAAAGATATTTTGAAAACAGAAAACCAATTAATTTGACCATCCAAATGATATTTTATGGGTAGGTCTGGAATAGATTAAAATATGTTTAAAACCATGTTCATTCTTCAGACATTTGTTAATAACTGTTAAATGTAGTAGTAATAAGATTTAACAGTGAGATTTAATGAATGTCGTCTTTGTATTTCACGATAATCATCCACAGATATAGTTATTTCATATTTGAGTTTCTGAGTCCCTCCTCCTTCTCAGCTGAGGCTAAAGTTTCGTTTTATTATTTGCGCTGTGACTTTCTTAGATGCTCGCTGTCCGGTTACAGTCAAGTGTCTGTGCTGGAATGTTCTGGTGTTTTCTGGTACTTCGCACGGCGCTTTTTTTGTAGAAAATTTATATATTTGTAATAATGGAATCCAGAACATTGATTCTATCAATGTAAATTCACATATCCGTGCCAACGACTTTGCATATTGCTTAATCCTAATCTGCCATTGCTTCGAATTAGGACGGATTGGTCTCTCCATGTGTTGTCTGGAAAGCCTAAGTGAATGAGGGATTGAGTACCATTAATGATGGCCAGTTTAGGTCGTGTGAAATCTTGAAAATAATGTATGACCAAAAGTTCTATTTTCCTATGCCTTTTTTTAATTGGACGAAATTAGGATCCTTAAATACTTTATGTTGCCTGTGATGTAAGGTATAAGCATGTCTGAACATGCCCATACCAAGGTTATCAGTTCTCAAAACTATATTGTTCAAATCTATCTATTTAAAAATACCATATGTGACTACAGTGCATTTTATTGAAGAAATGTTGGGCAAAAAATAAAAATAGTTATATTTATGAATATGTATTAATTGGTTCCTTTCTGCAATTTTTAGTGAATTTCTTTAAACCTTTGGATGTAATTCACTCATCATTTAATTTAGTAATGTTTGTTTATGCCAAACCTTTGTTTGATATTAATTTCAAACAAATTAAGTCTTAGCGATTCCTGTTTTATTTATATGTTGTTGTTCTTAGTATGTAGCTCTTAGTATATCTTAGTATTTGGTTATGAAGGTTTTAATAAATTAGTTCAATTACACAATATGTGTTAAATACAAGTAAAATGGTAAAAACATTTCCAGAGGTGATGTAATCTGTTGAGCATTAGCAACACATTAGGCTATATTTGATTTGTATTTATTACAGATGGTGTAGAGTTCTATCAGGAAAAATACTTTAGTTTTCCAGCAAAGTCTAAACTGTCAGCAAAACTATTATTATTGCGTCCAAGACTAGGCCATTTCTATGGACCAGGGTTGTCCAACGTAATGCCCGGGGCACCTGGTAGCCCCCAAGGACTACCTAAGGTGGTCGTGCGGTGTATTCTACAAATAGAACTAGTCAACAAGAGGGTCAAAAGCTGTACTTTTACTATGTTTTTTGGATCAGTTACACTTGCAATGATTGTCAAACGGGTGCAATGGCAATAGTAAGAAGAGTGTCTACTATTGTATGTATCATAACTTATTATGATTACATTGTTTGGAAAGTCTGTATCAAACAAGTAGCTCTACGTATTACTAAGTGCCCCTGAAGTCGCTCTCACTTTCAAAAACGTTGGTAACCATGCTATAGACATTCTGAGGTAAAGGTCAACTTTGGTGCGATGTTGCTGATCATAGGAAAATCAGCGCAATTAACTATAATCTTTAGCTTCTTCACCCAGTATCAGGAATTCTGTTGTAGAAAATGCTAATGTTATTGACAGCACCATATGCTAATGTTATTGACAGCGCTATCAAAAGATTTAATGCTGAGAAAGGTTAACAGGCAGGTGTATGATTAACATGTATCCTTCCGTGCACCTTTGTTACATGTCTGTCATGCGATAACTCCTATATATCCACAGACTGTTGGTGTCAACATTCCTCAGCACCCTGCAGTGCTAATACACACTGTCTATATAAATCACCTATGGATGTTATATAGAAGGAAAAAAACACATGCACACAGAAGTCAAAGCATGGTGATGATCATGAAGTTCTCTGCACTGTGGGGTTGTTGTTCTCAAGTCAGTGAACTCTTGTCTTACAGTAGATGGGTCAATAAAGACACATGTTTGCTTTTAATAAAAAAGGAAAAAAAAGCAAACGTTCGCTTTTTTCGTTTTGTTATTACCATTATTGCAATTAAAATTAATGGTACGAACCAGGGGAACATTGGTTTAGATACATTTTTTAGATTTGATTTTATCATAGATGTTGCACCACTATCATTGTGAAACAGTAAAGCATGTTCTCTATAAAATGTAAATACAGCATGGGGGGAGGTACTTTTTGTAGTGCAGCAAAGACAAAAACATAACCGTAATTTCCGGACTATTGAACGTACCTAAGCCGCACCCATATTCAGGAGTAATAATTGGAATAATAATTTATTTTGGTGTTTCGGTTTTCAGCCTTGGTTTCCTCATTTTTGGTTTCAGTCAAAAATTTTAATTTTGGTGCATCATTAAAGAGAACCACAGGCAATAATTAGGGATGCACCGAATTGTCGGCCATCAAAGCTCTTTGGTCGAAAATGGCCCAAAAATGCAAGTATGATGTTTTGTTGTAATAACCCAAAGCAAATAATGGTGTCAGGAAAGTAGTACGTTTTTTTCCACATTTGTATTATGTATTTTCCCCCACCGCAGTACGCCTCTTAAAATACATCTCTGTTTGCACAACAGGATGCTTGAACTGCTTGAACTGAAAAGCTATATTATTTTGCTGTTATCAGGAAATATACAGACGTTGTGCATCAACATAAAACAACAACCTGTATAAGTAGTTATTTATTACCAATTACATTGTTTTTTTTTATTTTATAAATGATCAAAACCCCAGATACAATTTAATTTTATGAAATAACTCTGTCTCTCCATCCCCTTCCTTCATCTAAAGCAGATTTTCCTGTTACCCGTTTCCTTTGCTTGTCTTACATTACATTTCTCTGCTTGTTTTTTCTCCATCTATATGTATGTTCATTTTCCAGTCTTAGTCAAATGACTGCTCCTCTTTGCCTCTAAGAAATACAATTATTTAAATGTATTTAACAGAGTCTCCAAATCTTACAAAATTAAATGTTTATTCCCCAGAAAAATATTATAGACTAAGGAACTACAAGCACAAAATGAACATATTTTGTAGTAAATACATTTACTGACTTAATGATTAGTAATTCTTAAATAACTGACAATGTTTGAGATGCATATCTCAAGTGCTTAATGATAAAGTAGCATTTCCCTGACTCCAAAAGTGGTTGAAAATAAGTATTAAAGTAAGTATTAAAATAACAATTAAAGATACGGTGTATTTTATGTATAACCACAAAAATGTTTTGCGTATTTTTAGTGTAGCAAATGTTTTTCTCTGTTATTCTCTATATTAGTATTCAACAGAGTAACTTACAATATTCACAAAGATCTGCACCTTGAATGGCCCTATAGAAAGGCTGTGTTCTCAAAGCAGACAGGTTAAAATGTGCACAGGCTGGTTTTGTCTCAGCTTTTGCACTCACACTTTACTGTTTGTTCAGGGTGTGTATGTTTTTCTGGAATGTTTGTGGTTTTAAATAGGACATTAATTTCTTAGATTAACATTTCACCCAAGGCTGTCATCATTACGGAGCCTTTGTGTGCTCTAGCAGGTAATTCAAGTGCATCCCATGTGACATTAGCATTGATATATTTTTGTTAAATTAGTATAATTTTAGAGAATTTTTTTCTTGTCAAACTTTTTCTCCTTTTAGGAATATTTTCATTGTCTTTGCATTGGTAAATCATTTCACTGAGCCATGATTCATTTTCTGTTTGGGTGGAAATGTTTCCAATTGTGAATAGAGGTGAGCTCTTTTTGATTACAGTTATTCCAACACTTGGCAGAAACACATGCATTGCTATGAACACTAGATTGTCAACAGATTTTCATTGATTGACACAATTATTTGTCACATTAGTCTGGAACATACATTTGTATCTAATACAACAATACTTTTAAGGACAGTTAAGGTTTCAAAATGGCCCTTTTTTTTTACAATAAATTCTGAACATTTCCACTACTTCCTTGTTCTTTGTGTGAACTAATTGCCTACTTCTGAACCGTGTCTGCTGTTTTTGTTAAGTGTGTGTGCATACTTGAATGTGACATAACCTTTCAGTTTAAAATGGTCAAGGTGAGAGGACCTGTGTGTGGAAATATGTCCTTAACAGCATGCTGTAGGTAGCTATGCAGAAATGCCATTCTTTTTCTTTCTCTGATGTTTCTATGGAATTTGAGGCCAAAGGGCAGAGTTCACTAAGTTTCTCTTGTGCGCAAACTGTCTGTCTGCTTTTGTAGACTTTTTAAGTGTAAAAGTTTTAAGTTTTTTTTTTTTATTTGAGATGTTTTTCTTACATTTGCAAAGGGCAAATATCTTTCAGGTCCAGGTTTCAGTTTTTTCAGACATCAGGTTTTGTTCTAGTTTGCTTGTGTAAAAATGAACGTTTTTCAGACATCAGGTTTCTAGTTCTAGTTCTGCTTCTAGTTCTAGTTTGCTTGTGTAAAAATGAACAACTCATTAGTGCCTTTAGCCCTTGATAAGATGAAAAAGTACTTTTCTTCTTTCTTTGCTGGTTCTAGAAGCCCAGTTGTTACAGTGTTGGTTAGTGGATGTTTTTTTTTTCTGAAGTGCTGATAAGACAAGGTAAGAAGGTACCATTGAACAAGGATCAGTGCTTTTTGAATGCTAATTAATTACATATACCATGTGCTTGAGTACTTTTTTAGACACTATGGTTGCTTTTTTTTGTTTTTATTAAAGACGCCACTCATGGAGACCACTAGTGAAAGTACAAGAGGCATTAGTTCTCAGTCTCATTTGTCCCTTTTCCATTCTGGTTCTTAAGTTTTCATTCATTTTTTTACTTTCTCTCTGCTAACAGCAGTGTATTAACGTTCCCAATGTCCCCTGCTAACAACGTATTCCATTGTTGAACAGGAGGTTGTGGAGCAAGCTATCTAGGATTAAGATGTGTAGAAAGAAACACACTGCCATTCAGGGCTATTTGGTTACTGACCAAATTCTTACCACAGATGCCTTTTAAGGGTGTGTTTGTCATTGTAGAAATGGAAAGGTTGAAATGACTTTGAGGCACTGATCATCCAGTGTCACTTTCATGGTGTGTCAGATAAAACTTTACTTAAACATAATTATTACTTAAAAAATTTGACCTACTATGGTTTACCTACTATATGGTTTCTGTGCCATATTGTCACCCTTGTCAGGGCCAAAACCTAACAGAACAATTTATTTTTCTGCAGCAGAATTTCTCCAATCTTTAATGTGCATTACTCATTCAAATGACAATTCAATTTTTTAGAGCGATTGGAGGTATATCTGTATGTAAATCCTCAAGAATTCAAAGTTTGAGAAAGACTTGGTTGAAAAATCTTTATAAAATTGGATTTAACCTGTAACTGTGATCGTAGCAATTGAGAACTTTGGAATGTTTCAAGTGTAGAAGACATTGACAGAAAAAATCTACTTCGACCTGCTCTGTGTAAAATATTTCTGTTGGTCAAACCTTT